CACACACAGCCCTTCACTCACACACAGCCCCTCCACACACACAGCACACACACCCCTCGGCACACACACACACAGACCCGTTTACACAGTCTCAGGCTAACACATGATAAATATTTTCACACTTTTGATTTTTTAAATCCATTAAATATTATAATAATAATACAGTAATAATAATAAATAATAGTATATTATTTGCACGGATTCCCCTTCCTCCATCCTCTGGTTACATACAAAACCTCACCTATTCTTCGACCCCCAAATAAAACACACGAACAAAAATGACCACAAGACGATGGACAGTGACAATGTTACTGAATCGATAGGAATTGGGTTGTCCACATGCGACAGTTTGGCTCATTACAAACGGGGTGAGCCCTGGGGGTGTGGGGGGGGGACCAGCCTGACTTTCATGACTAAACCCCAGTAAGAAAGATTTTATCCCCTTTTTTTTGAGTTCCTCGTGAGTTCAATCGACTGGAGAAACCGAGATGGATTGCCCTTCATTGCTCTCTCTCTCTCTCTCTCTTTCCTTTAAGGTCCATCATCTGTGTTCTCCTCCATCTCTTTGTCTGGTCAAATCCTCCCTCCGTCCATCCCATCCCATCCCATCCCATCCCACCCCACCCCACCCCATCCCACCCCACCCCACCCCATCCCATCCCACCCCATCCCACCCCATCCCATCCCAAACTGGCAAATCGACTCCTTTTTTTTCCATATAAAAGAAAAACATTTCTCTTCTCTCTCTGGACAATAATCCACTGCTCTCCCTTCACGAGTGTTCGCCAACTGCACACACCGAGGCGATGTCTGCAATGTTACCGGTGTGTGTTTTTTTTTCGTTGCTCCCATCAACCGAATGTGTTGCTTCGGTCGCTCATAAAACACACCGTCCTTTCCTGATCGCTCCTCTCCTCAAATCCCTCTGGTTTTTCCGGAATGTTCCCAACCTTTCTCGATACATCAATTCATTCCCAATAAAAAAAAGAGCTCTCCTAATCCTCACACTGAACCCCATCGCCCACCCATTGATGAGCACACAGGATAATAATAATAATAATATTAATATTAATATTAATATTGCTACCAATACGCTGTGAATCTCTAAATCCAGGTGTTAATATCTGAATCATATCTATGCTCCGGGTGTCGGGAAGAAATGCTTTATCCTGTGCACCGATTTCATTATCCAAACACAGTCTAAAAGGTTTAAAATGTTATTTGACATCAGGTCCCAACAAACATCTTGTTATGGATGGAAAATAATTCATTTCGACTGTAACAACGAGAATTAGATGCACAATACTACCACTGATATTAATCGTTGCCTCTTATGAAGCACTGTATCGCGCGTCGCTGAACGCTTCGTGGAAGATACTGCGTTGCAAAGTGAATTGATGGTGTATTTTGTGGGGGATAATAATCCATAAAAATGACTTCAATTACTTTGATATAGAATCGATAGCCGCGTTCTCTAACTCAAGCGTCTACTGCCTCTGCTCTCTACCTCTCTCTGCCATCAGTGACACCGACTACTATATTAGACGACACTACTTTATATGAATTTCGATGACATAATTCACAGTGCGGATAGAAAAGAACCTCAGGTTTACACTTCACAACCTGCAATAGGCATTTCTCCCCCTCTGCTCGGACACTGGCTCGGACATGCACAGTTTGCAAAGAGATCCGGAAATAAACTGGAAGTGCAGTGGGTACAGATTCTGAGTGAATTAAAGATAAATGCATTCACCGGTTTTGACCATTTTGCAATTGAGGGTTTCAAACCAGAACACAGTGTCAGATGTGCAGCTCATAGTGATGCGGTGAATTGTGGGAAACTCCCAATTGGTCCCAAACTCCTAGATGAGAGAGAGGGAGGGAGGGAGAGAAGAGAGAGAGGAGAGAGAGAGAGAAAGAAAAAAGAGAGAAGGTTCCTTGTGCCTCGGTCACACTGCGACTGAGCTCCAGCGGCTCTCAGGGCAGAGGCAGAGAGAGAGGTGGAGGAGGAGGAGGAGGAGAGCAGAGATGGGGAAGATGTGAGCAATGTTGGGGACAAGTTAACAACATTCCCTGAAGAGCAGAGAGGAGAGGAGAGGCAGTGTCAGAGAGAGAGAGAGAGAGAGAGAGGCATTCTCAGATGTCCCCCTTGGAGGAGACACTCACTGCTTGTGTTGTGTGTTGAGAGCACATTAGGCAAAGGGCTCCCACCACCCAAACCATCTCCAACTGTTTAGAAACAAGAGAGAGAGAGAGAGAGGGGGGGGGGGGGGTACCTCTCCCCTCCCACCCATTCCCTCACCAGAAGATACAGCATCTCAGAACTATTGAACTGCTCATTTTTCCCCAGAGGTGGGTCAACCCTTTCCTTATCCTAACCTGCCCACCTCCATCCTCAACATCTCCCAGTGGAAAACTTGGTGCTGAGGTGGTTTTGAGGTGAGACCAAACGATAGGAATGGGATAAACCAGGACTTGAACACTTAACACAGAGACACAAACTGGAGCCGAATTAGACTTAAAAGAAAGGGAAGACTCGCCCATTGTTTCATGTGGTTTCTGCTTTGTCCGAGGAGGTAATATAGAGGAATGAATAAACTTTATAAATCAGATTAAAAAAAATACCCATCCAAGAGAGAGAAAGAAACATCTTTTAAGGTAAATCTTTCCTTTTGATGTGTTTTTTGGAATTACATTTTAAATGAACTCTGATGTTATTTGACGTTAGTGATATTTTAACTCTGTGTTTGTGAGTGTGTGTGTGTATATTATAAATATGTGTGAATATATATTACCTGTGTGTATATATAATGTGTATACGTTACAAATGTGTGTGAATATATATATCTGTGTATATATATGTGTGTGTATATTACATATATCTTTAAAGAAAGGGAAATGCAAAATGCAAAAAAAAGCAAATGATTTATGCCTATTCTGGGAGTTTGTGGTTTGACACTGTCTTTGTGTAACACCTCTCTCTCTCTCTGATGAGGTTTGTTGGCTTTTCTCTAATAGTTGGTCTTATCTTGTTTTTATCCCTTTCTTTAAAGAGGAGGGGAGTAAAACCTACAAAAGTGCAACTGAATGGCTTGGCTTTCAGGGCCAGAGTGTGTACAATGTGTGGACATCTGACTGTCTTACTGAGTGTCTTGCACTCATTACTGGGAGTATTGTATAATAATACAAAATCAGTATAAAAATATAAAATTCACGACTATTTGTGGGACACTGCTGTACGCAACTGGCTTCCGCATTTCACCCACAAAATATACAGCCACTTCACTTTATGGTATATCCTGCGAAGCACTTTGAGACGTCTCAATGTTGTGAGCAGGTGCTATATCAAATGCAAGGAGAAAGAGAGACGAGTTTGACAGGATAAAGCTCTGATAGTCAGAGAGAGAGAGTAGAGGGTAAAGTACTAGAAAATCTCTTTCTCCCCCCCCCCACCAACCCCTCATTGCCCCTGAATTGGGCGTAATTTTTCCCCCAAACAATCCATCTTGTGAACCGAATCACACGTTTGATTTTAAACGCCCACAAAACACACAGTTACTAGACTTTATAGTCTATCCTGAGAAGAGCTTTGAGATGTCTCAATGACGTGATAAGATGCTGTATCAAATGCAAGGATTATTATTATATTATCCTAAAGCAGTCAGAGAAGCAATAAGGAAAGTGAGTGGAATTTCAGGTGTTATTGGCAATAAAATCATGACTGGCCATTGTTTACATTAGCAAAACAGTACAAGAAATCCACCTCATTATCAGCACCAGGATGCGATCAGAGACTTTCATAACATTTAAATGGTGATAAATAATACTTGCATTTGTTAAATCGCCTTATCACTCGTTGAGATGTCTCAAAGCGCTTCACGGGATTTACTGTAAAGTGGAGTGTGTGTATTTTGTGGGCAAAAACGAGTTGGTTTAGAACAGAGATTCTTTTTATCATTATTATTAACACGCACAACATTGGCTGTGGATCCGCCTTAAAACCCGACCTTGAGCGGGAACATTCACAACTCTCCAGACAATTTAATACCTCAACAACAAGTGACTCTTTTAAAGGCAGCTTTGTCACCTTTCTGTGTTATGTTTCCTGAGCACGTCTGGTTGAAGGAAGATCGCTGATCACATAATGAGGGGAACTGATTTATAGGATTAACTGAGGGCAACAGTCACTGGGGACATGGAATCCTCCCCCTCAGCTCCTGTCAACCCTGCAAACCAAAGCCCTAAAGGGTGAGGTGGTCCTAGCTGGATGAGCAGCGGGAAAGCTTGCTGGTGATATTAATGGCAAGTTACGTGGCTTTCATTTAGCTGGTTAGGTAGTTACCCCAATGCACAGTATGGCGTCCGCAAGCCTTGGCTCTTGCCAACCTGCTGCGTTTTGCCCACAAGATACACAGTCAATTCACTTTACAGTATATCCTGAGACGTCTCAAAAATGTGATAAGATGCTGTATCAAATGCTAGAATTACTATTATTATGGGAGGTGCCATCGTTGGGATCAGACCTCAAACTACCTGCACCCGTTCAGATGGTCGTTAAAGATCGATTTGAGATGTTTCCTGGGTGCCCATGGTACGGATCGATTGGTGGTTCGCTTCACCGCAGAAGAGTCCTGTAACTCAGTGGTTAGAGGACTCGCTTTGCAAGCGAGAGACCTGAGTTCAATTCCAGCAGAGGGCGAAACCTTGGGCAAGTTTCCTTACTCCATATGCCTAATAATAATCCCTCCAAAAAAACAAACAAAAAAAACAATAATAAATTGGTCATTTTCAATCCACGACTGTTTGTGGGACATTGCTGTGCGCAATTGGCTGCCGCGTTCGCCCAGAAATATACAGTCAATTCACTTTACAGTATATTCTGTGAAGCGCTTTGGGACGTCCTCCCGATGTGAAAAGCACTATATCAAAATGCAAGGATTAAGATACCATCCCCCGATTCCCTGTGTGTTCGAGTTAACCCTTTGCTGTTCCTTCCCCAGGTTATTTGGGATTCCCCCTGCCTGGCTGGTTGCGATGGTAAACGAGCGGTTCCGGACCTGGGACCCCGAGTTCGATGAACGCCTCATTAACGTGAACGTGGGCGGTCTGAAGCGATCGCTGAGCTCCAGCACCCTCTCCCGCTTCCCGGACACCAGGCTGGGCCAACTGCTGGCCTGCGAGTCCGAGGAGTCCATCCTGCAGATATGCGACGACTATGATGTGAGCGCGCGGGAGTTTTACTTTGACCGTAACCCCGGCCTCTTCCCCTACGTCCTGCACTTCTACCAGACGGGCAAGCTCCACATCATGGAGGAGCTGTGCGTCTTCTCCTTCTCCCAGGAGATTGAGTATTGGGGCATCAACGAGTTCTTCCTGGACACCTGCTGCAGCTACCGCTACCACGAGCGCAAGACGGAGAGCCGGCGGCGCAACTGGGACGAGGACAGCGATGTGAGCAGCATTGACACCTCTCCTGATGAGATCTCCGACTTCAACCACGACCTGTTGCGCTTCGAGTCCATGAGGTACGGGAACTACAGGAAGCAGATGTGGCTGACCTTGGAAAATCCCGGCTACTCCATCCCCAGCCGTCTCTTTAGCTTCCTGTCCATCAGTGTGGTCCTGGGCTCCATCGCCACGATGTGCATCCACAGCATGAGCGAGTACCAGCTCCTCGACCAGGACCAGAACCAGATGGATGACCCCAGGCTGCAGATCGTGGAGCACTTCTGCATCGCCTGGTTCTCCATGGAGGTGTGCGCCCGCCTGCTTCTCGCCCCCAACCTCAAACGCTTCTTCATGCACCCGCTCAACATGATCGACATCGTGTCCATCGGGCCCTTCTACTTCACGCTACTGGTGGACCTGGTGGTGGGCAAATCCACTGACCTGGGAAACCTGGGCAAGGTCATCCAGGTGCTCCGCCTCATGAGGATCTTCAGGGTGTTAAAGCTCGCCCGGCACTCCACAGGGCTCCGCTCACTGGGAGCCACATTGAAGGTTAGAGACTTTTTTTTAAAACTATTATTCTTTGTTACTTTATGTATTCAACAACAGGGAAGGACAAGTTTGCAGGGCTCTGGGGAGAGTGTGGGGAGTGGGATTGATTTGGATAGCTCTTTTCAAAGAGCTGACACAGACACAATGGGCCGAATGACCTCCTTCTATGCTGCATAATTCTATGATGATTGTACAGCACCTTTCACATCAGGAGAACGTCCCAAGGCACTGGACAGTCAAGGGTACGCAGTGTAGAGGGAGCTTTACTGTGTCTCTAATCCTAGCCTGGCAGTGTGGACGCACAGTGTAGAGGGAGCTTTACTGTGTCTCTAACCCTGACCTGGGAGTGTGGACGCACAGTGTAGAGGGAGCTTTACTGTGTCTCTAACCCTGACTGATACCGAGTCACTATTAGGAAAGTGTCCCATTTTCCAGCATAAAGATTCTGGACGTACCCTGAAGTCACAGCAACTAGAAACTGTGAAACGTAATGAGATCTTAACTCAATCACATTTCCTGGTGGTGGAGTTTTCTTACCTCCCCACACAATAAAAGGGTTCAACACTGCCGAGCTACACGCATTGCCCTCCCCCCACCCCGCCCCCCGCCTTGCCCCCTTTCCTCATCAATTACTAATTGCATAATTTAAAGTCCAGATTGTAACGAGGGTTTGGATCTGCATCTGGTTGTGTAACTCAATGGATATAAATAGGAGCGAGGAGTGAAAGTGGCTCCTTGTCTGAAAGTGGATTTGTTTGCGTCGTTCCCTTCTCTGGGAGCTGAAAGACACGGTTTTAAGCACCAGGCCAGAGAGAGAAGCTGGTGTGGGAACGTCTCCCGTCACATTGGTACAGTTTAAGCAGAACCCAGTGAATACTGTTATTGGGAGAAATTCTCCCATTTCTACCCCCATGACGAACAGCTAGTGGAGTCTCGTAGCTTAGTGGATAGAGCACTTGGCTTGCAAGCGAGAGGACCCAGGTTCGAATCCCAGGGGGGGCAAAACCTTAGGCAAGCTTCCCAACTACACACCCCTCTGTTTACCAGCAGTTAGCAGGAACCCAGTTGTTTAGTCGATGGGTGTTTCGCTTTCCGGGAGCAATAATCCCTCCCAATAAAATAATAATAATAATTTAGTCACTCCATCCACCACTGTTTGTGGGACACTGCAATTGGCTGCTGTGTTTCGCCCACAAAGTACACAGTCAATCCACTGAACAATATAGTAAAACTCGCATAAGTTTGGTCGGTAGAAATCATACAATTGCCAAAGTTGTAGACCTCGTTCATGAGTTTGTATTCTATGCAAGTTTGATATCGCTCATTACGTCATATCGCGTCATATTAAACTTATGGTCCCAATGATACAACATATGTGAGGTTTACTGTATTCTATGAAGTGCTTTGCGATGCCTCAACGACATGATAAGGTGCTATAACAAATGCAAAGCTTATTATTACTGTTATAGTTTAACCAGAGCTGTGTGTGTGTGTGCTTGTGTGTGTTTGTGCGTATGTGTGTGTGTGTGTGGGTTTGTGCGTGCGTGTGTGTGTGCGTCTTTGTGTGTGTGTTTCTCCCTATAGCACAGTTACCGTGAGGTGGGAATCTTACTGCTGTACCTGGGCGTCGGGGTCTGTGTCTTCTCGGGGATGGCGTACACGGCAGAGAAGGACGAGGACGTGGGCCTGGACACCATCCCGGCGTGCTGGTGGTGGGGCACAGTCAGCATGACCACCGTGGGCTACGGCGACGTAGTGCCCACCACCGTGGCTGGAAAACTGGCCGCCTCCGGCTGCATCCTGTGTGGCATCCTGGTGGTGGCTCTGCCCATCACCATCATCTTCAACAAGTTCTCCCACTTCTACCGGCGGCAGAAGGCGCTGGAGGCCGTGGTCAGGAATAGCCGGGTGCGAGACCCCGGGGAAGCAGAAGAGGGGGACGGAGAGGAGGGGGAGAGAGAGGCGGTGGAGGGAGAGGAGGAGTGCGGCGCAGGGGGAAACCAGGAACGGACAGACAATTGGGTAACGGAGTCCGTCAGGCAGTGACCGGCCAAATTGCAGGGTTAAAACAATCTATATTAGATTACGGCATTTTACGGCAGGAGGATTCGGAATAAATAAGGACTGTGTTCCCCACTGATCAGGAGCACGATGCAGGGCTAGCTTTATTCGAGGCCGCAGTTGCTTTATCTGAGGCCTCAGTTGCTTCGATTGTGGGGGTTGCCCCCACAATCGAAGCAACTGAGGATGTAACTGTTAAATCAATACTCCGCTAATCACTGTGGTTGTGAGTATTTACCTGCAGTTAGAGGCAGACTCTCTGTGCATGCTGTGCATATTGTATAACAGCATTGTATTCAATAAAGGATGGAAGCGCGATAACCTGTGGGTTTACTGCAGTCTGTCAGTGAGCAGAGAAAAATAGGTTCAGATACAGCTAGCAGAAGGGCAGCACATCAGACAGAGCATAATATAACCTCAGAGAAAATAGCCCCTGACTTGGGACAGCTTCACTGGACAACGGGATAACAACAACAACAACTTGCACTTATATGGCTATAGGGATACTGAGGGTGGCACAGAGTGTGTGGTGGGGGGAGAGGAGAAGGGGGAACAACTCTCTAATCTGTGCTTTCACTGATCTGGGAGTGTGGACGGACAACGTAGAGGGAACTTTTACTCTGTCTCTAACCTGTGCTGTCACTGAACTGGGAGTGTGGACAGACAGTGTACAAAGATTTACAAAGAACGTGCTGTACAGCGCGGAAACAGGCCACTCTGCCCAATCAGTCGGTGACGGTGTTATATACTCCACTAATCTCCTTTACTGCCTCCCACACCCTTCTATCCCCCTCATGTGAAGGTCTTGCTTCCTCTGGTAGGTGTCAGAAGGGAGTCAGCCAGCCAGTGCTGATCCATTCACTAAGCTCACACTCGTGAAAGCTTCATTTTGGACAAGCGAGATGGAGTGTAACAAACAATGAGTGGAGTTAATTGCCAAGCTCCTGGGAATCAGTCACAATAAATTCTCCTTTCAGTAAAACCTCTCATGTTTTGGCAATGGGCGATGCCATGGAATTTGTTTAGTGATGTGAACATTCAACAGAAGAAAAGGATAAGGATTTCACACCTCATTTGAACACAAGCCCTGGGGACAGTGACAGACACGGTACACTTCAACAGGAGATGATTAGACAGAGACTCACAACAAATGATAAATGTTCTCAACGATATCGGATTGCTGAATTGATCAATGTACCAAAACGGTTAGAGATTAGCATCACAAGTGCAGGAGGAGGGCAGTGACCATGTGTGACAGTGTGTGTCAGCTCTTTAGTTCTTTTGAAGAATCAACATAGGAAGATAGGAATTGCTAGATGAAAAAGGTCCAAGGTCCATCTATTTTACCTTCTAGCACCCTGATTGTATTATGGTATATTATATTATGGTAGTAAGGTTTTCGCTTGCTACAATAGAGATGTTGATTGCAATTAATTCTGTATGGATTAGTCTACAACAGAATGGAAAGCTTTGGGATCCTTAGATCCAAAGTTGCCTGGTTCTTCCAAGCTATACTACACGTACTATATATCATGTCTCAGATTACTCACACACCGTATCAAGTTGTCCTTTATCTTAAAAAGCTCTTACTTTTTTTTAATAACACCTGATATTGAAATATCTCAAACACCAACAATATTAAAGAGCATCACAGGCCATTGCTGTCAGTGTAACAACAGGTTGAAATCTGGTCAGCAGAGGAGGCTCATTGGAAACAGTACCTCACACTTGTTCCACATCACAGCGTGTTGCTAACCAGTGGGTAAAGAAGACTGGCAGAGAGAAGTGCCCAGTACCCTGGTGCCAGGCTATTGCTGGCGTTTATCATTGGTCACAGCACACAGCTCCTAGTTACGGCTCCAGATCATATTACACTGAAGACAGCAAAATCATTGTTTTTTTAAAAAAGAGACTTGAAGGCTTCTCAGTGGCTGGGTGTATTGACATAGACTGGATAGCGATTGCCTGGGAGGCGCTGTGATGTTCTGGGTGCTGTATCTCGCACGTGAAGATTATAATAATAATTCCAGGTTTGATGCCCGGAATTACCCCAGGAGCTCTCTTTGCTGCGTTAGAAATTCACAGCAATGGACGGGAGAGAAAAGAGAGTCCTGAGTGGATTGAATGGGCGGGGGAGGGAGAGAATCATAGAATTCTACAGCACAGGAGGCCATTCGGCCCATCAGGCCTGTGCTGACTCTTTGAAAGAGCTAGCCAATTGGTCCCACTCCCTGGCTCTTGTCCCACATCCTTGCAAATCTTTCCTTTTCGAGGACCTATCCAATTCCCCTTTGACAGTTATTATTGAATCTGCTTCCACCACCCTTTCAGGCAGTGCGTTCCAGATGGTAGTTTCCAGGAATGAAGCAAAACATCAGCTTCTGACCAGTGAATCAGTGACCCTTTCTACAAAATAAAACACAGGGATAGGATAGGATCTCACTTGGCACTTTCCTCTTGAAGGTTGGCCTGGAACCTCTCTCAGCGTTGCAATTTCTCCGCTCGGTTTGCTTTCAATGTTATTTTAAAATTCTGGGGAATTTCCACGTGTAGGGATGTATGGAATTCTCAGTTTGATTTGGAGACTCTTTATGCAAAAAAAGGTTAATGGTGGGATATTCCTTATAGCAGCATTATTTAATAATTTCTAGAAATATAGTGCAGTTAGCCAATGTAAAATTGACAGTGGCTGCCAGGCAAAAAACATACTAAATATAAAGCAGGGCACTGGTGACGGAAGCCAATTGGTTCCTGCAGACAGTGTAGACGCAAGCGAGATATAAATAGGCAAGTTACTGACAAACACATAAACCGGTATTCAAAACAAATGTTTGTCTGCTCTCCATGCTTTCTCCTTGGTTTCTCTCTGATTCCTTCCACGTCACTCCTGCTGCGCCTCTGTGACCAGTGACTGAGCGGACCTCAGAGGTGGGCGGGTGCTTTAGGGGAGGAGGTTGAGGGAGGAAGGAGCATAGGGAGGATGGGGAGAGACGTCAAAGGAGACAAAGGTTTGGACAACAACAACGTCAAATTCCATTTGTACATCTCCTTTTGAGTTAGGAGTTCGTCCCAAGGCGCTGGACAGTCAAGGGTTTGCCCCCTTGATATGTCAGTTTGCATTCCTACCGCATCTAATATTGTATCACAAAAGTTAACTGAAAAGATATGGTGACTTCTCACCTGAAAAAGCTGTAAATGAACAATGGGTGTCATCCTGGCTCTGACATCTGGGGCTGAAGGTCGTGGGTTCAAGTCCCATGTTTGAGGTCTTGGTCAAGGCTGATATTCCAGAGAGATGGCGGGTGGAGGTCACTGCATTGTCAGAGGGGCCGACTTACAAATCAGACATTTAACCGAGGATCTGTGCCTGTTCAGGTGGGCAATAATACTACTGACAAGAGAAGAGAGTTACTCTCTCCTGATCTTCTTGGCTGACAATCTTCCAGATTAAATTGGTCAATCACTTCACGGCTGTTTGTGGGACTTTTCTGTGCACAAATTAGCTGTTTACAAACACACAGTCACTACCCTTGCTGGCAACTATAGTTTGAGATTTTCGATGTACAGGGGATTATAAAATGCAAATATTATTGCACCTTGATAGCACCTCCACAGATGATTATGGTATCAGGTAGTTTGAAAAAAAATTCTGGACATTTTAATGGCTTTGAATAATAATAATCCTTGCATTTGATATCGTGCCTTATCACGTCTTTGAGACATCTCAAAGCGCTTCACAGAATATACTGTCAAGTGGATTGAGTCTATATTTTGTGGGTACATTTTGTTTCCAAACTAAATCCTTACGGGACTGATGAATAATTGAATCAAGGTATCACACTCCTACTTTCCAATTCCAAGAAGGAAGTAGTTGATTTTTCATCGAGCTCATAAAAGTTTGATGAGCAGTGAAGCTACTCGAGTCATTTTGCATCTGTCATCACAGTATAGAGATTTGACCTTTTCTCATCTGCCCAATGGTGCAATGGCCATCTCAAAGCTCTTTCCCCATCCTCTCTGGGCTGAAACAAACACATTACATTGCGCTCTCTCCTTTTCTATCTACCTTCCTTTCCCAGGTCCTCATGTCTGTCGAACTCCTTGCCTCCCAGTCTTTCCCTGCTTCCTCTTACAAAGACAAACTGGGCTTCACAAAACCACCAGGTCTTGATGCTGTTATCTCTTTGATCGTGTCTTTGTTCAAGCTCCCTGTGCTCCTGCTCGATGATCTCCATGGTCTCCATTGTGAAGCGCTCCTGCATGAACTGTGATCTATATAATATATAATAATCCTTGCATTTGATATAGCGCTTTTCACGTCTTCGAGACGTCTCAAAGCGCTTCACAGAATAGACTGTAAAGTGAATTGACTGTAGGCGACACGCGGCAGCCAGTTGCGCACAGCAGCGTCCCACAACAGTTGTGGATTGAAGTGACCAATTTATTATTGGTTTTTTTCTTGAGGGATTATTATCAGGCGTGTGGAGTAAGGAAACTTGCCCAAGGTTTCTCCCTGACCTGCCGGGAATCAAATCCAAGTCTCTCACTTGTGAGGCAAGTGCTCTAACCACTGAGCTACAGGACTCCACAAGTTGGATCCAAGTTGGATCTGATTTTCTTTCCAATTCTCTTCATCCTTAATGGTGTCCTAACCTATAGATCTTGACTTTCAACTAGAACAAACTGCACACTTCACTTAAGATTATAATAACGACATCCTGAGTACCTTACACTGGCAGGGACAGACTCCAAATTGGGGGAAGGGATAGGAGTGGCTATTAAAGCGCCTGATCACTTTATTGAGACCTTTCAATGCGTTTCATAAGGATACACTGTAAAGTGGATAGACTATGTATTTTGCGGGCAAAATGCAAAATACACACCCAATTGAAGGGGAAGATTAAAATGGTCGATTTGAAGACAGAGAGCGACACAGAGAGAGGGGACGAGACAGAGGGAGGTTGTTCCACAGTTTAGGGGGATTGATTTTCTCAATAAATAATATAGTGACACACACAAACGTTTCAATTGTGATTTTTCACCAGGGTCGAAAAACGGTTTATAAAATGAACCTTTTAAAAATAATAAGCAACCATGACCGTTTGTGGGACACTGCTATGGACAATTGGCTGCCATGTTTCGCCCATAAAACACATGGTCGATCCACTTTACAATGTGAAGCGCTTTGAGACGTCTCAATGTTTTCATTTTAATAAAATGCAAAGATTATTATTGTTATTATTACAGGCGGGTTACGAGGCCGACTCTCTCACTCTGCCCCATTTCTCAATAAATCACATTTAACAAATGT